GGGGGTCTGATAACCTCCAGAAATAATTGCCTAATAAATGAAATGAAAGTAGGCCTATGTATGCAATGTGACTTGGACTTTTCTGTGGGGGTTTCTCAGTGGTTCTGGCTGTGTGACCAGGGGGCTGGCTCTCGTGACTAGCGCAGCGTTTGTCAATAGCTCTACTCCAAGTGCTTGTGCCGGATTATAATATAGGACCGGGTATTTATTATAGGGGACTGGCTTGACACGCTGGGGTGTAGTGCAGTGGCGGTGGGTAGTGAAGGGCTCACGGGTTTGACCCCTCCCCCCCCCCTTCCCTTTTCCCTCCCTCAACCCTCTTCCAAAGTAAATGAAAGTTTCTTAAATAACGAAATAAGCAGTTGAAACCGCACGCAATGAACACAAAGTCATCAACTTGGCGTCTTGCTCGTCTATCCAATCACTGTTGTTCAAATGTCTTTAGGGCTCAGCAAAGGATGAGCCGCTTCCCACGTCCCTTCCGTAATGAAACTCTTCTTGTAAAAAGGTAAAAGACAAAATAAGAACACTGTACAGAGGGTTCACGCTCTCCTAGCCCTGACAATGGAGTGAAAGTTTACGACGCTCTTTCTCCTAGTGACACAGTTACCTACGCGATCATTGAACCTTTGTTAGGTGCGTTCTACTTTCCGCAACTACACGGCCTAATCCAGCTCGTAGATTGAATATCTTTGAAGTGCTTTGTGTGCATAAACATAAGAAGGGAAGACCAAAGATGACATGGAGGCGAGCGGTACAAGCGGGAATTGAAAAAGCGGGGACATCATGGAAACAGATAGAAAAGGATGCTCAGGACAGGCTTCGCTGGAGTAATGCTGTTGATGGCCTGTGCTCCACTGGGAGTTTAAAAGGGCAAGAGAGAGCTGTTTGTGTATGTTTATGTTTGAGCCGCTGAGATTTAACAGTTATAAATCACATCAAACCTCTTTAAAAGGTAACTTTTTTTTTATCCAGAGAAATCTAACTTAGAACAAAGAGATGGAAGACAAAGGTGACTTCTCGTCTGAATGGTCCTCAAGATGCCTTGGCTCAACGTGAGAATAGAAAAATCAGTACTGTTTAGGTCTTACTGCTTGCTATTTGGTGGTAATGAAGTGGAAGTAACCTTAACCCCACCCAAATTTTGGTCCACCCACCGCCACTGGTGATGTGTAAAGGGTAACTGGGTCAGGTCGGATCTGCGGGTACGACTGGATATATATATATATATATATATACATACATGTATATACACTTACCTTGTGTTATCGTGTACAGCGAGATAATGCTGGCGGGGAACTTTTCTGAAACGTTCAGAGACCTGATCAACTTCGATCACATCTCTCTCTCTCTCTCTCTCTCTCTCTCTCTCTCTCTC